TCTTTACTGTAAATTTACTTGCGCAAGAACACATGTACAGTGTAGATGCTATGCAAATTTTTGAACAAGAACGGCCGTTTTTGCACAAGAAGCCTGCAGTGCAGACGTAGCCTAGGAGTCCTAGTAAGCGACAAGTTAAACATGAATCTACAGTGTGACACTTGCAAAAAAAGCAAACATGATTCTGGGATGCCTTAACAGGAGTGTTGTAATCGAGACATGAGGAGTCATTCTTCTGCTCTACTCTGCGTTGATTCGGCCTCAATTGGAGTATTGTTTCCAGTTCTGGGCACCACATTTCAAGAAAGATGTGGAGAAATTGGAGAAGGTCAAGAGAAGAGCAACACGAATGATCAAATGTCTAGAGAACATGAGCTATGAGGGAAGACTGAAAGAATTGGGCTTCTTTAGTTTAAAAAAGAGAAGACTGAGGGGGGACATGACAGCAGTTTTCAAGTATCTAAAAGGGTATTACAAGGAGGAGGGAGAAAAATTGTTCTCCGTGGCCTTTGAGGATAGAACAAGAAGCAATGGTCTTAAATTGCAGCAAAGGAGGTTTACGTTGGACATTAGGAAAACCTTCCTAACTGTCAGGGTGGTTAAACACTGGAATACATTGCCTAGGGGGTTTGTAAAATCTCTATCACTGGAGATATTTCAGAGCAGGTTAGACAGACACCTGTCAGGAATGATCAGATGGTGCTTGGTCTTGCCATGAGGGCAGAAGATTGGACTGGATGACCTCTAGAGGTCCCTTCCAGTTCTAGGATTCTATGCTTAACCAATTGGTTTCATGTGTATAGTGACGTTTAACATCAAAACATTTGGCAAACTGCTTGACAATCTCATTTATTTTCTGTTCCAACAAATCATTCAATCCAAAATAAAACAAATAGCATTTTTATATTTATTATTTTAATGATTTAGAGATCAAAATATCATTTACCTTCCCATGTGATTTGTTATTCTTTATCCCAAATCCATTTGAGTTCGATATTTGCTTCTGCAACAGGTTCAATAAAAACCTTCTTTGTGTATATTCCATATTAAAAAGATAAACATGCTTTTTTTTATTCTGTTTAGTACATATAATGAAATATTGAATAAAATACTTTTCCCAAATATATTCAAATTTATAGTAGCACCTTTCATCTTCAAATATTAACTTATTAATCTTCTTGTACCCTTTTTTGTGTGAGGAGGAAATATTTCTGCCCCGTTTCAAAGATGGAAAACTGGAAATAGAGAGATTATGTTTGAGATAATTTGGATTCTTTTTTTGACAAGCCATCTTTCTGATGTCAAAAAATGCCAGTTTGTCAAAAACTGAAACTCTTCATGAAATGGGGTCAATTTTGATGAATTTTCTAACTCAAAGAGTGAAGGAAAAAGATTGGAAGTTGCCGAATCACAATTTTTAGTTTTCTAGTTTGAAACAACCTTTGGATTAGAAACTTAAAGTAGGAGGTTAAACAAAGGTTTTTTTTTAATTGTTTTTGTTTTCTTAAGAGAAAGATCACAATCAAAATGAAAAGTTACAAGAATTATTCTGACAAAACGTTTTGACTGACTGGATCCCAAAAACTCTATTCTTTTAGTTTGTCAGTACTTTCAAAAATTAAAATTTTTATCCAGATTCAATATGGGATAATTTTTAAACTCTTGGAAATATTCACTGATTGGGAATCCTATTTCCCACCCATATCTCATAATGATTTATTTGAAACCATGGAAGGTGTGAAATCTAGATTAGAATGCAAGACTCGGGTTCTCACCTGAGTATTGAGACTGCTAAACAGCAACTCTCTCTTTGAAGAAGTTGAATTGTTTCAAATGAAGTTTTCAATTCATGTTTTAGTTGACAGATGGTTTTGTTGATACTCCCTCTATACTACTTGCATGTGATTTTTGTGTGTGTTGGTTTGTAGTTCTATGCATGAACTCTGAGAGATAAATTTAATTTGGCATTCTCTGTAAGAATAAGCAATCTGTTATCAGAATAAGCATTTGTTAGTGGATAAGAAACAGAAAAATTGCTTTGAGGTTTGGATTATGGTTTTTTTTCTTGAAGGAAAAAAATCTGCATTATTACAATGGAAGTGTTTAAGTCTTTAACATCTAAAATGGTTGGCACTGTTTGAAAATAAGTTTATATTGATGGGCACTTATTTTTTTCCTTATACTTCATAACTCTTAGGATTAACACTGTAACTGGTGTAATCTAGTTCTCAGATTTATTCATAAATCTTGGTATCAGTAGCTGTATTACATTTGCTAATGAGATCTCATAAATTTCTTTTGATATTTCAATGCTGTTGGTAACGAAGCCCCATAATGGTGGCAATAAAATGGAATATTGTGTTTTAAAACTTGAATCTAGTAAGGGAGATAACTGGACTACCACAGAACCTACAAAATTTAATTAGCAAATAACTTCATTCACTCAATGCAAAACAGGGAAAGGAATTTTTTAAATAATAAAATATGTGACTGCCCTAATTTAAGTTTTCTGTCACCTCTTTTATTCATCTTGGTTAATGCTTTAAGAAAGTTCCTTCCCTGTTTTGCACTGAGTACACAAAAGCTATTTGCTAGTGAAATGTTGTAGGTAAAAGCAACTTTTTTTTGGAAGCTAGCTTGGGAGTTTCCAGCTGGCTAGAAGGGCAGAAGCTAGCAAAGCAGGGATGCTTCACTGGGATCAGGATGGTGGGCTGTGAGAGAGGGGGCAAAGCCAGAGCCATCTCTCTCTCCAGCATTTCACTGGGCTCAGAACTTGCGGGAGAGACACCCTCGTTCTCTATACTGGGGGCTCTAGGAATCAGACCATGCATCCCTACCTCCTTCTCGCTCCCTTCCCTCATCCCCCCACCTCTCCTCCCACTGTGTTTGCCTGGATGTAAGCTGCAGAGAGGAACCTGCTAGAATCTCCACTTGGTAAGGGCAGAAGCAGCCAGAGCAAGGGCTCTTGGTTCTTAGAGAACTTTCTGCAGTTTTGACTGGAGTTTTTCTCCTTTTAGTGCTTGCTCAAGGTGATTCCATTCTAGATGTGAACATGCTTATGTGCACGATCGTCAGATTTTTGCTTTAGTGGTATCTGTAGGCAGGCCTGTACATGGCCGGGGCAGGGGCATGGTTTGTGAAGGGGGTGAACGCACCTCTCTGTGATCCCCAAGTTGTCCTCCAGTTGTCCCAGCTCCCCCCTCCCCCATGCTCCTGTCAGCTGGAGGAAAGGCAGGTGCGGCATGCTGCCTGAGTCTCCCTTCCCCATGCTCCAGCCAGCTAGGGGAAGGCAGGAGCAGCACACTGCCCAAGCTTCCCTCCCCCATACTCCGGATGGCTGGGGGATGGCTGAGGCTGAT